ACCCCATAGTTCTCCTTTAATGGGAGGCAGGACCACAGTCGGGAACAATCCACTATCAAAATCATTTATACAGGTAAATGATTTCTATCACTGGTAAATACTCATTATTTAAGTCCAATCCCAAAGTTCTGGATAATACAAGGACCGGTTAAAACTTCTGTCCATTTGTTATTGCGCTCTGTGACAGGGGGAAACCGGGGAAACCTCTGCGAATTTCAAACAAGAAATGAGTTACCCAGAAAATTAGCATTTATAAATAGCATTTCCTATATTTCTCAAATGAGAGGGTTACTTTAGAAAGAAAACACAGAAGGCCCAAAAGATTCATGATTATTCTTCAGTTTTAACCTAGATTAGAATGAACTACAGAGCGATCTAAACACAAGGCAGAGATATTAAATAATGAGACAGGTAGTATGATGGCCTTTGCTTTTACTGTGTGCGCTTTCCACATATCAAGCAGCAGACAGTAGAACAGGATGGCAGCTACACAGAGCAGAATGATCTGAGCTGTTGTGAGGATTACAAATTTGCCCTTTAGCACACACTAACAGATAATTCTAGGTTTGTACTAAGCAAAGCACAAATTTTTAATTTGCTGTAGGACAATTTAACGTCCCTTTTAAGATCAGTTACTTATATTTAAACAATATAAATAAAGCCATAAAAAGAAGCCCATCACATCAGTGTATCAAAGTAAATATAAATAATGCACGTGCATTAAGTGAACATCTGCATACTCTAAATATTATTTTCTTTTAATTAGCTGAATTCTGATAAATTGCACTGGGAAGACGCAGATAATCACATGATGCTCCTAATTACTGATTGGATATAAAACAATCAAAGTCATTAGAAACACCCATTTCTGGTAACCACTGACTGTGTGAATTGTGTGAATGCTATAATATGGGGTGTTATGGGGAGGGGGTGCGAATGAGCCCAGGGGGAGGGGCGCATGTGCCGACCCTAGCCCAGCCTGCCCACATGCATCACACGCTAACCCAGTGGGGTGGTGTGATTGAATGTGGCAGGATATTTGGGGTTTGGAGGTGGGAGAGACTTGCGGCTGGAGCGGGGTGGCTGGACAGCACGAGGAGAGAAATCCTTCCTACAATGAGGTAATATTTCCTTGCATTCAAGTGTAGTTAAATGACATTTAGATATTAAGAGTGTTTTACATACAAATCCGCAACTTATTTTGAGCAATTTGGCCAGTTATGCATCCAGTGGTGTCAATGTGGGAGAGATGTTGGTAATGGATTTATTTAGATTTGAGTCATATTTTAGTTGTCAATGATATGAGATTTTGATACAACTGATACGGTTTGTTTTGACACTATATACTTACCAACATGAGGGAATGCCTTGCGTTTCTCCTCTCTAATCCATGGATGTGATTTCATTCGTGCTCATACTATTGCCATATGGATGGACTTGGTATGAGACAATTATCAGTCTGATCATAATTTATGTGTTTTTTTTTAGAAGATTGAACTTTTGATAGATATATGGTTTGAACCATTGTAGGAACTCCAGGATAGATGTGCTGTCCCCCTGCTCTTTTGCCGACTTGTTCTCGCCACCCTCTCTCCTTCTTGGTTGGTTAGAGTCCTCCGGGGGTGTGGACCCATCCATTGCCCAATTTTCCAAGAGGGTATTATGCAGTCAATTGAGCTTATACTAATGTACATATTTGTACATGTGCACTGAGAATTACTATTTATTTATTATATTTATTAATAGTTATCTCAGCTTTGGATCTACAAAGAAATTACAGAGTTTTGCCTCCAATAAACCTCCTGAGGAAGCTTTAGGGAGCGAAACGCGCCGAGGGCTGGAATAGTGCAATTATAGATGAAATTATACTTGAAACCATTGTAGGAACTCCAGGATAGATGTGCTGTCCCCCTGCTCTTTTGCCGACTTGTTCTCGCCACCCTCTCTCCTTCTTGGTTGGTTAGAGTCCTCCGGGGGTGTGGACCCATCCATTGCCCAATTTTCCAAGAGGGTATTATGCAGTCAATTGAGCTTATACTAATGTACATATTTGTACATGTGCACTGAGAATTACTATTTATTTATTATATTTATTAATAGTTATCTCAGCTTTGGATCTACAAAGAAATTACAGAGTTTTGCCTCCAATAAACCTCCTGAGGAAGCTTTAGGGAGCGAAACGCGCCGAGGGCTGGAATAGTGCAATTATAGATGAAATTATACTTGCCTTGTAAATGTGTATGGACAATCACGCACCAAATGCATGACCATTACTACAAAAAAATATATTATTATTATATACACCATGAAATTGCACTAAGTCCAGGGAGGTATATTTAATTATTTATTATCCACACATTTCTTGTTACCAAGCTAAGCCATGTTATCCCACATTCATCATTGGACACTTTTAAAACCCCATTGTCGCTTTGTTTTTTCATGTATTGTATTCAGGAGTGTGGTGTCACAGTTCCGATGGGTGTTCTGGGAGATACCCACTTGTTTTATTTTTTTACTTTAACTTAAAAATACCTAAATGGTAAAAATAAAACATAAATACCATCCTTTACTATTGAAAAAATTCTGCAAAATGGAAAGAGCTGCTATTTTCTTTCTGAACCACCCTTCTTCTATCTCAACCCCATGCAGCCACTGCCAGACTCACAGGGCCCATTCACACCATGTCCGGATCAGATGCGGTATGTTACATTTTTCTTCCGCGCCAAAAATGCATCCCAATGCATTTGTAAGTGATTTTTGGGCTCCGTTCACACCGGCCCAGTCTGTTCCAATGCAGGAAAAAAAATGCTGCATGTTACATTTTTCCTGCACCGGAACGCAGCCAAACGCGTCACAAACGCACGGTACCGCAACAGAAACTATGACATGGAGCAGGAAGAAATTTGCATAATGACATTACCCCCCCCCCAAAAAAAAAA